TGTGACAGTGTAGGTCCTGTTGATGATAACACAGATTCTTCATCAAAGAGTGTAGACTGTGCAACAACAGATGAATCATTTATTAGATAAATAGTAAATAATATAGTACTGGAAAAACTATGTAGTTTTTATGATTTCTGATATTGCTGGTTAGTTGCTGATCTAGTAATAATTTTGTTCAGTCTCACTCTAAAAAGATTCGTGTTTTAAGAAATATTACTCTCAAAAGTATTGTTAGGCGTCGTGATGGTGTTCTAAAACAGCCTTATCCGATGGTGGAAGGTACCTGAAGTATCTAGCCCTCACTTTACCACATTACATGATGTACTTATAGAGAAGTTCAACTGGATTGTGGAAACAAGGAAATACATAACAAAAGTTTACATTTCCAACTTACAAAGTACTTATGCAGAATTATGAAAGGACCTGCAAAAAGATTTGAACCCAGCACTCACCACAAAGGGAGCCTTACCTTTGCATGAGCCACCAGTTATCAGAAAAACACATTTACCAACTCAAATTGGATGACAAAGTTATCACAACGGAAAGGTCAAACTATCCATAGTTATCATACCATAAACTCTTCAAGTACCAATACTCCACAGAGTGACATCTCAACTTCCAAAAAGTATGTATGGTCTGTGTGCCATACATTTCCTTCAGTCAAACTCAGCTCTCGCCAAACAATGCCTCTTAACAATACAACATTCCACATTGGTAACGTATGTTTCCGCTAATAGTTACGACTCATTAACCTACAAGTAGGCTACTCTGCACTACACAGCACCTGGCTCTGGCGTCACCCAGTGCCGACAGTCCGCATGGTCAGCTGCCCTTTGTCATTCTCAAACTTTCAGACATTTAAACATTACAGCTATTCACAACATATGCTCAGATGTTGATAGTTTAGCTAAACTATGTAATAAAACTGATGGCAGGTTTTTGATTTACAGTGCCATGTAATCTGGTTCATATTTACTAACGTTTCAGAGGTTCTTGCTGCCTCCACCATCAGGGTGATTAGTTTTACCAGACTACATGGTCCTAGAAGCCAGAAGACAGACATCTTCGTATTTGTTACCAAGAGAACCTCGAATCCTACTCCCGCCCTGATGTGGAAAGGGGCCTGCATGATCAGCTATAATTTTACCATATCAGAAAATAATACAGCTGTAGCATTTCAGATCGATTAAAAGCCTTCATTCTCCCAATTGTAAGCTACCAGTACGTAGTTATATCATATTGCATCACGTGCCATAACCGACAAACCTCCATACAAGTAACGCACACATACTCGCACAAAAAACATATATGGAAAATACGTCTTCCCCTCTCTACTTTGCAAGGCACCTACCGCATCATATTATTTCAGACAAGATTTTCACATCACAATAAGTGAAATGTGCTGGACTGCCTAAACGAAATTCGTTCGTGTGTTGATGGCCTGCAGTCCAACAAGAAAGAGAGGGAGGTGAAGCAAAGCTAAAGAAACTCCAGTCGTTGTGATTATGTGATAAATCCCTGGCTTTCAAGATGCCGGATGAAGGACAGGATTGTTTGTTTTTGATCACCTCATGTGAAAAAGGAAGGGGCTGGGGTTACAAACCAGGAGAGACAGTTGCCAGCAAAGTAGAAGTACACAGTGTTGCCAAGAAGTGAATATTGTTCTACAAACAGACACCAAGGGCAGCGCCCCCTTGGCAGTTCTTCCTTGACACATTTGAGAGAATGGCTCAACTTGTGTAAATTACTACATTTTCAAATTCAAAAATTGCCCACAATTTGGATTGTTTTAGTCATTCTTCTGGTGTACGGTGCATTCATTGTTTGTTCATGCAGTTTAATGATTAGTGCATTCACGAAGAGAGTGACTCGGATTCGTAGAAAATAACAGTCTTTGGATTGTAAAGGCAGCTACGTGATATTTATAGAGCTGTAATTTATGTTTCTTCTTATTCAGTCTTAGAGAGTTTCTCTTTTCTGACTGATATGACACATAATATAAGTCATGAAATAGACTGAAGCCTCAAAACTTCTATAGTCTGCAACTTTTTAATAGAAGTCATTTGTTGTCTAGTATCATTGGATGTACAGAGTTTTTTTCTGGCTAGGCATTTAAATTTGAGTGCAAGATGTAAGAAAAACATAAATATGTTAGTAAGTTACAGTGTATAAACTATAGGGTGTGAGGTCTGAATTTTTACACAAATATTAATTAATTTGCATTAAAAACATTCTTTTTTTTATTTCATCACTGAGGGGCCTCTGCGATTTAATTTGAAATTCTTGTGTGCTATGTCCTGCAGCACACCTTATCCATGTTTTGCAATTGTTTATTTTCTCTGTGAAGTAATCAAACAAGTTGTGGGATGAAAATAATTTGTCTGTGTGTAACTTATGTCCAAATCCTTCCACTCTTCTAGTGAGGCCTTTTGTTGGAGCACGAGGAGTAATCATGCTTGTGCTGTCAATCTCTCCCCAAGTACATGTTCATGTCATACGTACACTCGGTACAGCCACATAATTTGAAAATTGTTATGACATTAAATATATTGTTAGGAACTATTCACTGTTTTAAAATAACATAAATTCTGTTTACTGCAAGTTGTAAAGTGTTTAGGTATTGATGATAACACCAGTTTGTCTCCACTGCAAGCAGTTTGATGGCTTCTGCAGATAACAATATGAACGCAGCCAGTGGACTTGGGGTGGTGGTTATGTGTGGTTCTCACAAATTTTAATTTTACGAGGACCTCCAGTATAGTATTTGTGGACAGTGTTGCTAAGTTTAGTCCCAGATGGCAGACCCCACTGTGAGCCAGGGGATTCTTGTTGCTATTCTTCTTGTTCGTGCTGTGCTGGTGACTTAAAGTTGTGGTTCCACTTCTGTTTCTTAGCCTTTATCCTCTGATACGTGTCACTGTTATTTTCCAGAAATATTTGAGTTTCTTCAGAATAGAGTTTCTTGGTTAAAGCAATTAAAAATAATTGACCATACAGTAAGGAAGATTTTGTTTCATATCATTTGTTTGCCATGGATGAAATATGGCCTGTATTGTGTAAACCTCTTGGATGTGAAATATAAGCTGTGAGTGTCATCATGTTGGTCACTAATTTATAACAATATCAAACTTTGTCAGTACAAGGGTTTTCCAAGCTCTGAATGTTTATGAGTGGAGTTAATTTTGTTAAAGTGGGTTGAGAACATTTGAACAGTGAGATGATCATGCGTGTGCACATGAAATCCAAACCAAAACTGTAGCAAGACATTTGGACAAATGTGGTGGGGAAAATTGTGATTAATTTTCTTAATGCAAATTAATAGGAGTTTATTGTTGTATATGGGGAACATGATACGAGCAGGAAGCACGTTCCTGTGGTACGTTGCAACCAACAGTGGTTCCAGTAGCATGTTTGGAGGGTGTTGCAGCTTCCCACAGAAATTCTTGACTTAGCTGCCTCGTACTTTTATCTCCTTATGCCCCTCAAACAGCATTTATTGGGGCAGTGGTTTTCGGATGATTATGAGGGTATTGTAGTGGTGATGACATGGCTACAGGTTGTTGTGAAAAAGTAAAGTAAAGCAAAGCCATCCCGCTACACGCCATGTAGGTCGTTTGGGGGGAGTGGGGGTATAGCTCCTACTCTTTCTTGACGTCGGCACTAGATGGGGGTGAGTGGTCAGCATCACGCCCTGGCCGTGCTTTACTGCCGGGAAAGGGCCCTAGTACCCAGTGTATAAGAGGCTGGGTGAGCCAAAGAGCTGGTCTGGACGCAGAGGCTAGAGGAAGAATCCTCTTCCCCCGTTGGGAATCAAACCCCAGTTGTCCAGCCCGTAGCTAGTCACTGTACTGACTGAGCTATCCTGACTCCACAAGTTCTTGACCAGGATTTATTTGCAAAGAGCTTTTATATACTAATTTTGTTCCGGGACAGATATCTCCATAAGGGTTGTGATTATGCAGAAGAATAATATTATGATGTCTGTGTAAGCAGTTGCATCTCTGTGGTAATATGCTCCATGACACAGTGTTCATTTACCTTACTTTCAGAATGTTCATATCTGTATCTTATCACTACCAGCATAGTAAAACTTCTGCCACTGTCTAGGACTGTCCTTGACATACCTCGGAATCAAGATGGCTATCTTTTGGATGTTAGAACCATGTGGTCTGGTAGAAGTTTACCAATGAGGGCAATTATCGCCTTGTTGATTGTGGCAGTAAGGACCTCTGAAACAATGATAAACTACTACAAGACTACATGGCATTACAACCCAGAAGATAACCATCTTCAGACTCACTGCCATGAAAACCACAAATCATTCATACCTAGGGATGTTAATTGTATTTGACTTTGCATATGACAGCCACCAGATCTATTTATGACAATGCCTAACATGTATTCATGATGTGGGATGTTTGTAACTAAGCCCTTGCATCTTACATTCTTCCGATGACTCGCATGTGACTTAAAGATAAATCATTTTTTCATTTTGTGACAACCAGTGTAAACAACGTGACATGCAAAATTTTCTGTTACATTGGAAAGGTTTAGTGTACAAAAATCCCACTATTATAATCATTCCATTGATGCTTATGAGATACAGTGTTGGAAACAAATGATAAATTAACAGTTACAGTGTTGTAACATTTTCTTACACGTAGACATAAATGTAGTAAGGTAACAGTATGTTTCTTGTTTGCAGTTTCTTGGTGTCTGGTTGACAGTGCGCTACCGGAATCAGAAAGACCCCCGTGCTAATCCCAGTGCTTTTCTCTAACTAACGCATGCACAACCCTGCCAGGGTATGGGTAACTTTCTCTTTACTTTCTTGTAATATTACGTTATTTACTAAGTACTGCATAACAGTGGTGCATACTTATCGACTTACATACATGAGCATGCAGTATCTTGCTAGTAATATACTCTGTTCCATCTAGCATATTCTTTCTTACACATTAGTTGGTATCACATTCCAGCTGCCATCATGGTCCCTGTTCTCTGGGTTGAACATCATCATTCATTGACAGTTAACCAGTTTCAATAGAAGATGTGTTTTCCACTGCAGAACTGAAATAATATGACAACTAATCTAACCATATTATTCTTACGTTAAAAATATGTCTCGGCTACTGTGATTTTTCCTGAAGTTGAAAAATGTCCACAGGACTAGTAACTAGTACAATGATTCATATATCTGAACACATTGACACACTTTAATTGAAGGGCTAACCAAAAAGTGGTACAAGTACCTTACTTAAAATTGTTGGAAAGTTCACTTGAATGTAGATTTGAGAAAACATTTTAGAGATGTCTGGCTTAAATAAATTAATTTTCACTGTTTACAATAGATTTTTACTTTATGGCTGATATTTTTCCAAGTGTAAGTGAATTCTTTTATTTTACTAACATTCAAAGCCATTTAAGAAAAATCACATTTGTTAGAAGTATCAGAATAAGGCTGATGAAAGCTGAAATTAAGGTCATTATTGAATATATGACAGTACTGCCGTTCCTTTACAGGTGTGATGTTTCTCTCCTTGCATATATCTTCTTATAATTCATACATTTTGTTGGTGCTCAGATGTTGTGGAAACTACTTCTTATGTGGTTTACAGTGCTTTGCGTAATGGTCATTGTACTTTGGAAGGGAATGAATGTGGTGTCTGACTGACTGTTTCTGTTCTGGTGTTTGGGTTCCCCCTTTCCATTGTCTTCTGTCATGTTTTGTAGTACCAGCTTCCTTAGTTCCAAAAGTTACCCTAGTAAATGTCCCATTTGATATATCTAGGGTGCTTAAGAAAACGTTCTTGTGTGTTCTTAATCCAGTCAGATGGATTTTATATGCTCTTTTTGTGAACTTGCTTTGATCTAGGTCATGATGGTTCTTTAATATTAACAAAAGTTACTTTGAAGGAATTTTTTAGTTCCTAGGAACATAAGGAGCAGAACTCATGAAAGATGTCCGTATGTTTGTCTTCCAGTACAACATTGCACTGAAATCGACATTTATGATTAAATTCTTAGAGTGATCGTCTTTAACTTTGCCCCCACGACCTTCGTATTCCTGACCACTGGTTCTGTATCACTTAGCTACATTTTGTCTCTAGTTACTTGAGTTTCTCTGCCACTTGTGGCCCCCTTCAGTTTCAATATCACATCCAGAAAGTAATAAAAGGAATGCAATTAGGCTATTGTTAAACATACATGTACGCATTACACTCGTGTAAGTTTTTGTATGCCTGTAAAAGTAGAGGGAGGTGAATGCGTCTCTGAGACATAAATATTTGTGTTGCTGAAGTCACCTTGAGTGTCAATCTCATATTCAAAGCAATTATCAAATGTATAGGTTTGTGTTTTTATTACTGTATATTCCATTAATGTTCGTACTTTTAACATATCTGGTTTACACTATGAAGTTATGTTTTCATTTATGAGTGATTTTCATAACTATAAACATTAAATAAATGGTAAAATACTCATTAGAACTATAAAAGTCATTATAAAATTACTGACACTCTATTATCATATTTAATCCATCAGTTTGTCATGTGCTTCTCCAAGCTTGCCATCTAGCCACTTACACTCTCTTTTTACTGAATCATGTTGCAACTTCTGTGTTAAGTAAGAATTAAAATTAACAGAGATCAGCACCAATCAGTGACACACTCATACCACTTTGTTCCCCTAGTTGTTCGGCATGTTGGGATTGCGTATGACATAAAATAAACATTTTTATTTTGTACCTTGTGCCACCTGTTTTCTCAGCCCCTCAGTTGTAATTTGCGTACAGGATATACTTTTTTGACTGTTAACTGTGGTAAGTCATTAGTAGTCATATCAAAATCGCGAAACTTTTTCACTCCTTCGAAGTACTGGTAACTAACCACCTGCAAGGTTACGTGCTGTCGCAGCTGAGAAGACCACAGTTCTCATATCAGTTTTATGCGGAATGAAAGTGGAGTTATCAGATGTTGCAATCAAGTGGGTTTTTGTGACTGAGGTGCTTTGTGGTTTTCCTCGGTCCTTACAGGCAAATGCTAGTGTATCACCTTAAATTCAGCCAGAACCATTTCCTTCCATATTCTTCTCACTTCATTATGCACTAATCACTCCATCATTTGATGCAGTGTAGTCTGATGTACTGGTGGAATCATTAAATAAACAATAAAAATAAATATTAGACTTTGCTACGTAATTAGCTTATTCGTGAAAATGCAATACAAACATTAAAATTAATGTGTCAAATCTGTGAAAATGTATTATTGTGGTGTTATATACGAGGTGCGATCGAAAGGTTTCCAGACTGCGCGTATAAAAACCCGTACACTTATCTCAGGTATTAAATTCATCCATCACCCTCGAAGTAGTTCCCCTGGGAGTGAACACAACGATCCCAGCGCCGCTGCCAAGCCTGGAAGCATCCCTGGAAATCTTTCTTTGCCAGCCTGTCAAGCACCATCTGCGATTCTGCCTGAATCTCTCCTATCGTCTCAAATCTCCTTCCCTTTACCTGAATTTTC